TTTATTGGTTAAGGATCACACACATGCTTACGGTGGGATATTTCGAAAATATTCCTGCCACATTTATTTTAGTCGAAATATGCACTCTTGGAAATTTTGACATGTTGGAATAGTTTACCTTCTGGTAATATTCACCGCAGGAATTTGAAAATTTTCAGAAAAATAAGTATTGGAAGATATTCCTATGAGATTTTGCTTCTCCGTTCGCTCTCCGTAAGTGTTGTGTTATAATTGAAGCTACTATTGCAACTCTCTGCTCTCGCGTCCTCTCCACTTCATATTAATTTCTGCCTTAGTATCAACCTGATCTCCAGGAGTTATGGCATGGATACGTTGCCGGGTGGTCGTGTCAGTCGAGTGACTTTGCATGTTGTCTAATTGCCCGTTATGATGATTAACTCACTACAGTAGTTTTTGTATACTTTTATATAAACAATTAGTAATAGAATATATAGCAAAATAAATACTTCGACAGTTCATTCCAATGTCGCTTTCATGAGTTCGAGAATTGTGTTGGGAGGCTCCAGTATACGTGAAACTTTTGACTGATATTAGTGACGTTTGATACGTAGGCCCACGGGAAATCCCCAAAAATCTGTTGACGAAGGATGACCATAGGTTTATCACTCTCTCATATCCGTAGGCCCGACTTTGATGATCCACTATATCAAGAAGCTGGAATTTGGGGACCTCATTCAGATACATTTTTGTGTAATATAAATATTTTATAGAAGCAGCTTAGGAAGTTGATAAACACGACAAATCCTGATAGACGCAGAAGATGTTCAGTATCTCAGTGGTTAACACAGTACTGGGCAGGTTACCCTAGCGGGATGCTTGGTTGCATCTGAGCAGAATACGGCTACCCAAACTGACGGTCTTAGTGGCTTGCCTCAGTCCCTCCAGGTAGATGCCCGTATAGTGCCTTGAATTAGGCCGCGACCGCTTCGTTTCACATCTTTTACAATTCATAATTCATTAATTATCCTATCATTCGACACAGTGTAGCCTGAGCTATGAGGGAGAAGAGGAATGCATATAGGATATTGGTCGGAAAGCCAGAAGGAGAGAGTCCACTGGGAAGACCAAGGCGTAGGTGGGTGGACAATATTAAAATGGATCTTAGAGAGATATGATGGGATGGTATGGATTGGATTGATCTGGCTCAGGATAGGGACCAGTGGAGGGCTCTTGTGAACACGGTAATGAACCTTCTGGTTCCATAAAATCCTGGGGATTTCTTGAGTAGCTGCAGATTTGGCTTCTCAAGAAGGGCTCAGCTCCATAAGTAAGTGAGTAAGTAAGTAGCCTGAACTACTGACACCGTCATAAAATAACCCAGAAAAACAAGCGCTGAGATAATATTTTCGTCGACCTTAGTCACGTTGACGAAATTGTCTCCTTCGTTGGAAGGTTTGAATTAAGCCATGGAACGCAGATCTGAAAGTGGACTAGACGTTTTACGTAAAGTTGTCCATGCGCTGAACTGATTAAGCACTACGACATGAAAGCGTGTAGGGGAGTGAATGTATAGCTCCACGTTTTCTTGACCTCGACACTAGCTGGAGGTGAATGGTCAGCTTCATGCTCCGGCCACTTTACCGCCGGTGTCATAGACCCCGGTGACCATTGGCAAGGAAGCTGGGTGGACTCCAGAGACGGTCTGGACGACATGGAGAAGAGAATATTTTTGACCCTACTAGAACTCGAACTCCGACTTCTCGGTCGTCCAGTCCGTACACATAACGTATTCTGTCACTTGTCCTACTGTAAATCTGAGACAGATATCCCCTATAGTCGGATAAGACAGCGAGTAAATTGAACTGTTTGCAGGACGCCAGTGCGAGTTAACAAAGAAGAGTCCCACGAACCGGGCCAGTAAATGTTGTGATTACATTCGGATTTTTTTTTTTAATATTGCCATGTACGTAATTGTTCATATCGTCTGCTGATATTCTAGATTGATTCAGAACTAACTGAAACACCGGTTAAATAAATTTTGGGGTGCAGGCTTCCTTGAGACGCTGACTTTCGCTGAAATGGTGAAGAAATTCCCTGCATTTTATGGAAGCCGTAGTATCGTTGTCTTATTGCTGGTTCCTATCCTGAGTCACACGTGTCTATACCAGATCCTATTTGAGAGCCATTTTAATAATATCTATCTACCCCTTGCTCTACCAAGTGGTGTATTCCTTTAAGACTTAGCCCCGTTATATGTATAACTTCTAACCAGGGCAAAATTGTAGGATAGTAAGAACCTGTAAGAGCTATCCCTGTAACAGGCCGTGGAGGCCCACAGCGTTATGAGACGTCGAGGCTCCCACATTTTCTCTATACAATCGGCTCAAAGATGGCAGTGAGTTTGTCAGCCTTACGCGCTGGCAGCCCTTTACTTCCCAGGAAGATTCCTGGTACTCATTTCTGGAAGAGGCTGAGTCGACCCCAGGGCCATATTGCGGCTGGAAGGGTTAGGTCAATTAAAAATGGAAATGACCTGATCGGAAATGGAACCCGCGACCTTTCGGCTTATAGCGTAGTGTCTCCACCAACTACGCTATCGCGTTCACCCAGACATCTCTGTTAGAGAACTATAATTTTATCATTAGATTTGTATGAATGCCAAACTGAGTCTGTCATCCTGGGGGAGGAACGTAAATTGTGTATGAGAATAGGGTGCTGAGGAGAATAGTGGGATCAAAAGGGGTAGAGGATATTGTATGATGAAGATCTCCATAGTTTGTGCTCTTCCGGAGAGAAATGGGCAAGTAGCACGAATGGGAAAAATGATTTATCCATCCAAAATTATACTGTGAAAGAGATCACGAGGAAATCCTAGTGATGCGATTATAATATTAAAATGAATATTGAAGAAAGACTGCGGGAAAATATTGACTGGATTTATCTGAATGAAGGTTGGGATCGGTAGTGACCTCTTGCATACACGGTAATTAACTTTCTTGTTCCGTAAATGGAGATAAATTTCTTGGTTAGATGAATGACTGTTCCATTCCAAAGGGTCACTGTGCTCCTTATAATTAGTTAATGACGTGCGGGTATGGCGTTTTCAACAATCAATAAACTTTCATCAGGACATAGAAAGTATCTCTGAAGTCCAAGTGCTATAGCACAGCTGATTCTAGAGGATTTAGCAGCCATGCTTGGACGAGCTCTGGGGCAACCAAAACTAAATGGAAATTGAATAAAAATGAGGGAGAATAAAGGAGAAAAATGAGGGAAGGGTTAGCTGAATTTCCCATTTTCTCACCCTTACCCCTACTACCCTCCCTATTGCTCCCTCACATAGCACGAATGAAAACGTATTAGTATTCAGTGCGTTTCACTGAAAATTAAAAATAAATAGGTGTTTGTTTGCTACACTAAACAGTGAGAAAGGATGAATAGGTTGTTGTTTCACTGTACCAGTGTTGAATTTTAATAATATCCCGTCCAGTATTGTATCCCTGGATGTGTCTGTTTTGTATGGCAACAGTATGGTGTGTGCGTGCGTGCATGTCACAATGGAGTGCACTGACGTAGTGAAATGCTGCCCCAATCCAAAGGCATATAGTTTGTGCTTTGTGCTAAAGGGTCAGATGTCAAATTGACTTATCGCACCTAATGTTATCGTTGGTTTTCTTATGAAACAAATGAAATATGATTTCCCAAAGCGTTCGGGGGGGGGGGCACGAACTATTTGGTACCTGTGCCAAGAGATCTGCCTGCATTAAAGACTACAGGTTTTGCCCATGCTAGCTCTTGGATCCACTTGCTAGTTATGTTCATGTATTTATTCATCAGTGGCTCTGAAACCCTTTGTTGGTCCATGGCTTCTTCTTCACTTTCCATAATCCTTTTTACACAGACGGTAGGACACCTTGGACGAGTGATCAGCCCGGCGGAAGGCCGCTACCTACACATAGAACAACACAGACACGGAATTAAAGCACACACACATCCATGCCTTGAGTGGGATTAGAGCCCACGATCCCAGCGTTCGAGTGAGCGAAGACAGTTCGTGCCTTAAACCTTGCAGCCAGTATGATCGGCTTGCAAGTTATGTTGCTCACTATAATTTTAGGCCGTTCCAAGACCGTTTCATTATAGAGACTACTATACAGTGTGTCGCAAGATGAAATGAAAGTATTGTGGGAGGTCACAGTATCTGTCATTCTAAGCAAAAATATGTATAGGTATAGGTATCCTATTCCGAACGGTTTCCGAGATAGAGCTATTTCACTGTACACCGTACAGACTAGCAACGCGCCATGTCCTCACAGGAGTTTCAAAGTGCATTGCTGTTGACGGTGGAATTTTCGAAAACTTATTATATCAGGTAAATTATACCAACTTTTTCACTTGAACAAAAAAACACCGATATTAGAAACGACATGTAATACTTCTTTCTTTGTAAGAATTTTGTAACTGTACAGTGAAATAGGACACGTGTACATATCCAATTTTTGCTTACAATGACCAATATTGTGACATCCCAGAATATTGGCCATTCCTCCTGCGACACTCTGTATAGCGTTAGGTGAAAAGATGACTGGTAAATTAAAAAGGTTTTAGAAGGAAGCAGCCGTGGCCTTTCGAAATACTGTCCCATCATTTGCCTGGAAGGACTGAGGAAAACCACAGGAAGCTCAGTCAGTGGCTGAGATTCTTACTGAGCACATTCAGAATACAAATCTAGACTGTCCTGTCCGGTTTTTCCTTTTCATGGTACTTTTTTTTGGTACGTATTATTCAGGAATCCATCCCAAATACCGAAAATGTGGTTACCCAAAGAGAAGACAGAACACAACTCTGTGTTGTGTTGTCGATTATATTTAACTTTAAAATACTTAAATGTCGGGTTTATATAGCCATGCTGCAAACGAAATATGTGCATTTTCCCCGTTTCTTGCTAAGTAATCATGTTACTTACGCCATCTGTGTTTGTGAAGTGTAAGTAGCTGAATTTGTAGGCGTGACGCTCTTGCTGTTTTCTTTTCTCGCAGCAGTGGACGGTCGGTGGACCTCGTGGTCATCCTGGTCGGCGTGCGGACCAGACTGCAAGCACCATCGCCGCCGAAGTTGCACGAAACCGTCGCCCAGTAACGGCGGGAAATACTGCCCAGGCAGGGATCTCGTTTCCTCCAATTGCACAGGAGAATTGTGCCCTGGTAAGTTGTCGTGACTTGCTTGCTTCATACCAGATCCTTCGCAATGTTTCCGTTAGCTCTACACCGAAGTTGCAGATTACGGTACTGCTGTACACTCCTGAGATGATACAATATTCCCTCATATCAGCGCTTTCCGCCTAGAAACTGCGTTGGCTTACAGTCACGTGTTTGCCAGGTGATTACCGAGTGGATCCCCGGACATCGTTTTCTTTATTCTGATGGCTGTAAGCTTGCGGCTGCATGCTTCTTACGTTCGTATTTGAAATGGTTGTCTGGCAGCAGCGCTGCTGTCTTTCCACCCTTGCTGGAGCTTTTCTACGTCACACGCTAACGGGACCAGGCATATGTAAACCGCGGCATGACTTGTAGTTCGGAATGTACAGGGCGCGTCAATGAATCGGGCTATTTGACAGCAGTATTTTTCCTGGATTGCCACCCAGCAGCCTGCTTCAAAGCGTTTAGTTGCAATGGAGGCGTGGGCTGGAGCACAATGTGCTTTTGCTGTGAAAGAATTTTACAAGAAACGGTTACAGTTTCGTAATCTCTTAGTGTGAATTTCGAAGAGAGTTTGGTATTCATCGCTGTTCCATCTGCCCATGCCATCAAGACCTGGGTTCAGAACTTTGAGACTACTGGTTCTACACTTAAGAAGAAAGGCGGTAGCGTAAGAACAGCACGTACACCTGAGACTGTAGCGGCAGTGAGAGAAGCCATTGAACGAAGTCCACGCCGGTCTGAGCGTCTCCACGGTACCTCACCCGGGCTGTCCGAAGCCAGCGTTGGGCCTATTTTGCTCAAAGGTCTCCACTTCTAGCCCTATAAAATTCAAATTACTCATACACTACACGAACACGGCTATGAAAACAGTTGATTTCTGCCAGACTTTTTTGCAGTTAATTAATCAAAACCAAGATGGCGTTAACAACTTACTGATGAGCGATGAAGCTCATTTCCACTTATCGGGGCTGTTAACAAGCAAAATGTCCGCTGTTGGTCAGCCACAAACCCCAAAGAAATTTATGAGAGACAACTTCACATTTCCAAAGTCACAGTATGGTGCGCGATATCTTCGTTTGGAATTGCTGGCCCGTACTTCTTTGAAGATGAGTGGGAAAGGGCTGTAACTGTGACTGGACCACGTTACGTTCACATGTTGGAGAGCTTCTTAGCTCCTGCACTTGCTCGTCTTCCAGTCCAGGAAGAGACGTTTTCCAGCAAGATGGGGCTACGTGCCACACCGCACGAGCTTCCATGGCAGCTGTGAATAACCTGTATCATAACCATGTTATCTCCAGATATGGGGACATCATGTGGCCAGCCAGGTCACCTGATCTTTCCGCGTGCGATTTTTTCTGTGGGGGTATCTGAAATCCCAAGTTTTGAAAGCTCCAGCACCCCACACAGCTCAGGAGTTGAAACATTGAATTCGGGAAGAAGTTGAACGAATTACCGTAGAGATGCTGCAAAGAGTAATTAGGAAGAGACTTACAGAGTGCCTGCAGCGGAATGGTGGTCATCTGTCGGATGTTATTTTTGGGAAACAGACTCATGATTTCAGTGAATCAATTGAGAAAAACCAAATGCATTTGTGTTTACACTGTATTCATATGTGTTAAAACCAAATAAATGTAACAGTTTACTGTTCATAACGTTTTTAAAATCGCCCGATCCATTGACGCACTCTGTATAATTGAAAAGTGAACGCTATGAGTTCCTTTATTAGAATACTTGCCAATAGCGAATAGCCTGTCACAGGCGAGCACTGAATGCATACAAAATTAAACCAGACTGGAAAGAATATTAATAATTAAATACTACAAACTAAAATAATACAGATAATACGTTAATAAAATAACAGGAACCACAGGATTAAACAAAGACGAAAGTATTATCGAGGGGGGATATTGTGTTTATTAAAAACGCACAGATCCACAAATGCTGTTTGCACCTGAGGTTCGCCTTGATGAAGTTTAAGTCTTGAGACTTCATCCACATTAAGGGTGGACAAGTCCTTAATTTGCTTAAAGGACCAACATTATCCATAATAAAATAGTAGTTGATTCTTTTCTGAAAAAACGTGAATGAGAAATGAAGCGTCAATGAGCTGTCTGAAATGAAGTAATATTTTATAATGTATAATTGACCTTTAAAGGCTGAATTTCGTAAAAATAATATATAAAAATTGAGTTCTTACCTCACAGGAAACACATTGTGTCTCCCCTACAAAGATCAATCTGTTAACGCCGTTTAAGAGTAAAATCGCTGTTTATAGTGAAAACACGCTCTGTGAACGGAATGCAGAGTTGTAGTGTGTTAAAGCAGGGGTAGTATATGCTGTAACCACTGGGCTTAGCGGCCTCCGTAGTCTAGAGGTAACGTTCCCACCTCATGACTCGTAGTACGCGGGTTCAAATACCCGGCGGAGGTCGTCGAATTTTTAAGGGCGGAAAAATTCAGGGAACAAGTCCTCCGGGAGGGACTTTAAGCCGTGGGTCCCGTGTCGTAGCTTTACGGCACGTAAAAGAACCTCATATCTCCAAAGGAGGTCACTGAGCCAAATTAATGGACGTTTCCCGCCCAACTGGACTGAAGTATCGATTGTAGCATAGATATGCGAACTTTGTATATTTCCCAGTTTATTAGTATTAATAATAATGACGGCGACAGTAATTATAAATATATTACAGTTATTTATTTGTTAACGAACTGATCAAATAACCCAATGGTCAGTTACAGAATCAGAACATGCATATTTTAATTCTAACAAAATATTTATTATTCTTCATGTACTTCACGCAGTTTAAAAAATTCGTTTATCTGATCCCTAACTGAAAAAAGAAACTAATTACTTACACGATAACCTTATAAGTGACTAGGATATAATTTTTTCCATTTTATCTGCCTGTACTTTGACATGGAAACTTATAAACAGATTAAATTCAATCCCCCAGATTTTTCATCCAGTAATTGAAAATAATGCAGGTTAGTGCTTTACGCTGCTTTAAGAGAAGTGCCATGTAATAAGATAATCAAACGTGTATATCGCAATAAATACGATATAATGCTCGGTTACAATTCACGCGTTGACCATGGCAAACATTATTCACCTACTTCTAACGTTTGGACAGATAATGAAATAAAGCCAAAATCCCCTTTTGTGTGTCACAGTAAATCCTTCCCGGGTTTCACGTACAATTTATTCATCTTAAATTCAACGCAAGACAGCATGAAAAGAGAAACAAGGCTAGTTCCCACCCTCATAACACACGCCTTCTCTTACAAGATTTATAATTCGTGTCCTCTCTTTTCATAAGAATTAGAATTTCATGAGTAATTCTAAATTCGGTACAAGCCATACCGACTTAAATTTACAAGCGTTAATATTGTCACGTGCATGAGTGACTATAGACGGGGTTTTGGATAATTGGATTGACTCACAACTTACAGGTCATAACTACAAATAACTATAACACTATCGCCGATTTCCACACGCTAATTCTTCTCCAGCCTGCAGTGTCTTCACCAGACGTTTCCTGATAGCGACTTCTAACAATGACTATTCCTCTGCTTCCGCATTGAATTCCCTTCTGATCGGCGGCTCCCGTCCAACTGCTTCTTCTTGCTTCAGTTGTCCTCCTTATAGCCTCTTTACCCAGACGGAGCAGAAAACGCCGTTTCCAGCTGTGCCTATATGGTTGCATGCGTATCCGTTGCAGCGGGAACGTGTTTACCTAGCTGTTGCCTAGAAACAGCTCTACGCGCTACAGTATAAACACTCACGATAAATTTTGTTAATGTGCTGCATATTTAACCGGGAATCGACTTATGGACTGAGGATTTCGTGACGATGTTCTCAGATGCGTGCTTCGATCAGAGGCACCGAGGCTGGATCCTACGGCTTTCGACTCATTTGGCCTACGATTACAAACTAATTAGGTACACAGAGTAAAGTTCTTATTGCGAAGCTAATAGTCGCACATCTGGCCAAGAAATCCCACCCCTTTATGATACCCGAGTACTCATCACTTTGTTCATAAGCATCCGCCACTGATTTCTATCCTGGGCTGGTTTAATACTTTCACGATTTAGGGGGTGACTATAGACGGGGTTTTGGACTGGGTCTCGGATTTATTGACCACGTTAACACACGATTCGTAATTTCGCTTTACATATCACTGACACATAAGCACTAGTGTCCTCAGCCTATTACAATCTCCACTAGTCGTATCCTAACAACGTATTTTAATATATTCATTATAACAATCTCAGTGTAACTACAGCACTCATAACGTCTTTTCCCCACAGCCGGATTTTCAATTCTCAACTACAGCACCATCTCTTCTCATCCTCCCATGCAGAGTTCAACCGAACTCCCAACCCTCAGCTAGCTCTCTCATTTAACTGGATCGCCCGAAGTTGTCTTCCCTATAACTACTTTGCACAGACCGAACAGAAAATACCGCTTCCAGCCAACACTCTATTGTTGTAGACGCGTATTTACTGATCCGTTGCCCAGCAACTGGTTACATCAACGTTGTTCTATTGTTGCATGCGTGTATGTAGCGGGCGTTACCTAGCAACGGCTGCTGTTTATAGAACAACCGCATGCCACATTATATTCCTCACCATCAGACCCTGTGATCCCAATTGTGTAAGTTAATTGAGACTTCTAATACCTTGCCTGTGGTATGCCAACTTAAAGTAACCTGTCTTCAGTTACTACTTCCCAAAATCTGGCCGGCTTGCGATGACTGCACTGCGACCTGTTATTGTTGTTTAGCATTTCGAACATAGCGGCAATATGAACTTTGGAGTTGAGAAATGTAACTAATCCCGTGCTCCTCCTTCAGAAGCCTCTGACAGTATTGGTGTCAATTTGCATGAAGTCCGTCCTCTTGTCTCAGTAGTCCGTGTATATCATCCGTGACTACGTCTGCTGTTCTATTGATTCTGGGTTTCTATTCGGGTTTTTAATTCGGCGAAGCCGTCTCTGTGGTCTA